GGAACCAAACCCTAAGTGGCCCCAAACTGCAATACACCATCAGGGCACAGGACGGAGACACCAAATTCACCTGCACAAGTTACAATATTGTGAGCGAGAAGTCGGCATCCAAAATGGTGAAGTGCAGCAACGACCTACAAGAACCAGGTATGTGCAGAGAAGAGGAATTATGAATTTATTGCTCTGATTTATGTGTATCTTTTGGTGCAACATGTACATATTTTGAATGTAGTTTATTAGTGTCATTAGTGTTGAGTCAAGTTCTGTGAGGGTGTTCATCATTCTGTTTAGTTTAATCTACCACACAGTTGGTTGAATAGACATTTATTTTAAGTTGCATTTTCATTCTGGCGATAGTGTTAGAATCATACAGAGATATGAATGACCAAGTCATCTTCCTGTTGTTTAAAATTGGGTTTAAGACATTACACGGACTAGTGTACAAATGTTTTGAATACTCTCATTGATATAAATATACATTTATGTGTCTAATGTGTATTCATTATGTATTATACATTCTCTATAGGAAGTTATGTTTAAGGTTTAACATTCAGTGAACTCTTGTTCCTCCTTATCTGTCATTGATCTGCCCGCTCATGCAATTCATAAGAAACAAACCTAACTTTCTTTTTAGTTTACTCATACTTATTATTTATTTTTGCAGTGTCCAGCTCCTCAACAATTGCACCATTGATTATTGGGCCAGTTATTGGAATTTTACTGATTATTCTGTTCCCGCTTCTTTGGTACATAAAGTCAAAGGGTAAGTCCTCCTCTTGCTGATAACACTCACAATCACTAAATGATTTTGAAGTCATAAAGATGAACAGTGGTTACATTTGCAACACAAAAACCATGTTACATTTTTCTTTTTCACAGGTCTATTTTGTAACAGGTTGGGACACTTTCATCTACAACTTAACAGAAGCAAAATATCATATATGCCCTTAATTCATTTTTTTATTTTGACTAGTTTTAGTAAAATTCTATAACATACATTTCTTACTACATGTTTCAGGCTCACCCAGTCTCAGACGGTCAACCAAGATGAAACTCAACAGCAGGTGTACTCCTCTCTCCTCCATGGTCAGTCTTCCATCAAATCTTGTTTGCTATCACGACTAACTAAAACACAAGTTTTAAAGGTTAAACATACAAAATTCACTGCCACTAGATGTCGCACTAGATCTCAGAACTAAAATGTGCCCAACAGACTCCGTTCTCTGCTCAGGACACCATTATTACACTATATGTTTAGTTTAGTTTTTTGCTGCTTTGGAGGACAATAACCTTTAACCCCTTAACACTGTTTTTGAAAGAAAATAGAATACTAAAAGAAAGGGCATTGTACATATTTTAGTGCATTCACAAAACATTAATTATCATCATTAATATGACCTTGTATTGATTATCTCTGACTTATAGGTGATGGTTCTGTTTATGAAACAATAAGAGGTTCTGAAGATGCTGGAGCAGGTATAGTATAAACATTGATCACAGTAGAGCTTTTTCATAACACAACTTTTAATATTCAAGTAATCAAAAACATTCTTATTTCAGGTGGAAAACCAAACTAATACAGGAATGTCACATCACCAATCAGAGGCAAGCAGAGTAAGTAATATGAGACTTAAAATGAATGCAAAATATGCATAAAAGTAACATGTTTGCAGATCAGAATTTAAAAGCAAAATCTTCATAGATAGGGGTATTGAGGGCACATATTTTTTTTAAGAGATATGGGTGCACAGCATTTCTCAAAAAATGTATCATACTGTAATCCCTGTGGTTTTATCACTGTCTAAATGTGGCGATCACAGCAACACTTGCCTGTAAGAGGAAGTATAATAATTATTTTTTTTAAAAAGAGTTGCACCCAGCCAAACTGATTAATAGTGTTGTGGCTTATTTCATCTCTGCTAGCCAGTATCTAGACATTAGA